CAATAGTGAACGCGCGCCCACTCTCACATATCTCGTCTGATCCTGCTAACCCGATGGCGCTAACGCCAATGCACATACTGCTCCGCTCGTCCTTTACCAGTCAGGCTCGGACTCTGACTTATGCAGCAAAAGTGAATGGCGCAGAGCCGTGAGATTATCAGACCACTTTTGGCGGAGTTGGGTCAGGGAATATTAGCGCAAAGGGAATATTAGGGGTCCAATGTTAATATAAAGATCGGAGACCCCGTGCTCATCGCTGTCGGAGATTCCCCGAGGGAAACATGGCCTCGGGGGGCCGGTATGTTCCCTGGCCACGACGGAGCTGTACCTACGTGTGGTAAACGCTGGATGAATCTTGCGCCGGCCCCGAAAATTGTTATTTTATAAAAAAATATTGAAGTTCGATGTTCAACCGTCTTTTCCTACAGAAGAAAATATTATACTGACCTTAGTAATAATAATCACAATTATTTTCCTAAGAAACCCTTGGAAAATATTCCTTACAAGAGACACATTTCTTTTTCCTGACGGTATACCGCGAGAGCGTTGCGATCTTAAATGCCATCGTGAAGTTAATGAGCGGTTTTCAGTATTTGTCGTTTCGCTATCCCCTTAGATATAATATTAAAAACAACGTACAAATCAAACACGTGTCGCCGTCAGGCTAGTTAGACTGAGCTTGTGAAAATTAAGATAAGGTGAAACTACCCCAATTGTTCGGCTGCCGGACATGTAGCTGTCGTCGCAGCTCCTGATTGGTCAACTCAATGTCATATTGCGCAACGCGATAACTTGCGGCAATATATTACTCACTAGTTCAGTTATCCAGTTCCGTTACCTGAACTAATGAGATTTGTTTCTCGTTTGTTCAGTTGAAAATAAAACAAGCTTTTGACCCTGGTTTAGTAGAGATTTTTTATTTCCTCTATTCCCACTAGTTCAGTTGGCCATCCTCTCTCTATACTAGTTCTGTTGTGCAATTCAATTAGTTGATAGAACTATAAAGAATTTCTATCTTGTTTGCTTCTTTCATCTGTTCAGTTAACTGAACAAATGGGAAAAAGAGTCTCGCTAGTTCAGTCAACTGAACAAACGAGAAAATATCTCAATATAGTCGTCCCGAAATAAGAGGCCAAACTTGACAGCTAAAGAAGGCGATAGTATGTAACTTTGAATGCGATCAACGAAACAGTAGACAAACAATTAGTAGCATAATTGAGTTTAAAAAAAAAACATACATTTATCCCGAAACAGTTACGTCCTCAAGCTATTTTTTTAAATAATAGTGTTTTAAGCAATTAATCGCCGAATTTCACCAAGTTACTTCGATTTCTCGAAAAAAATATTAGATAAAATAATGAACATTATTTGAGGTTGTTTGCTGTTGACTTTGATAACTAATTGCCAGCCAAATAATTGAAAATTTATGACATCCTTGGTTTTTTAGTAATTTAATCTTTTTATGTAGTTGTTTTATCGATGAACATACTTATTTACACTAAATTCTCGTAATAAACCACTTATGAATATTTTAAATCAAAATTAAAGAATTGGATACAATTCATCGGAATGTGGGACAATTTTATGACAATAAGAGGAATTGCTACAAAATTGTAAGGAATTCTGTACATGAATTGCTTTTAACAGAATTATACTATTCGGCCTTTTAGGCCCCTGAACAACAATGAACCGAAAAATAATCTAAACAACCACAAATTCTTAAAAATTTGAATCGATTTCTCGTGAAAATCGAATAATCTGATTAGCGATATGATTAGTCCACATTACTATTCGCGACACGATGACAAGTGTCAAATTTGGCCTCTTATTTGGTAACGACAATAGTTCAGTCAACTGAACTAGTGGGAATAGACCAATATATTGCCTGAATTTGTGCATTGTAAATCCACCTTAAATCTTCCTTAACTTGAACTTGACTCTCAACTACAAACTTGTCAGAAAATTTGTCTCCTCGTTGGAGAATCATGTCAAGTGTAAACGAGACTTCAAATTAAATATCAATATCCAAGTTATGCTACGTTCAAAACTAAATGCTTATCGCTAAGGTCTATACATTATGTACTATATATACGACCTCCGCTCCCGCTCTATGTCTACATTATTGTAGACTAGAGCGGGAGCGGCTGTCCGATGCAACATGTTAGCCCACAGGTTCGCGGGGTGTTCAAGGGATGTGAAAATTGTTTGTTCAAAGCTTTTTGTGTCTCCTTTTGCTCGTGCTGTGGGTGCGCAATACAACAACGCGTTCCGGGTGTTGTTGGAGCTGCCGCGGCGGTGCAGCGCGTCCGTCATGTTCGCCGAGGCGAGGACTGACGGTTTCACAGCCGTGATGAGAAAGAGGTATGCCTGGTTGGAAGCACGGTTACCCGCCAGCCCCAACCGTAGTCTCAAGACTACGGTTGGGGCTGGCGTGTTTGCGAGCCGCTGGGACAGCCCAATGTTGGCCCGGTGGCGTCACTGCATGCAACATGTTTCAATATGAATGTTTTAATGTTAATGTTTCTGATTATATATTTTTATTTTTTCACTTATTGTGTACTAACACTTAGTTCCTTACGATTTTAATTTTATTTTACTAACACTTTTGTATGGACCACTTTAGAAGTCTAAAGTAAAGTTCACTTCACTTTTTATTTTTATGGCTCCATCAATATGAGAACTGATGATTTTGCCAATGTCACAGTTGAAAGAAAAAAAACGAAAAAAAAAAAGTAAGAGTAAAGTTAAAAAAGTAAAGTTATTTTATTATTTATTCATTGCATTTTTTGTCTATGTCAAATGTTGTATGTCAATAATTGCGAAACTTGTTTTTTCTTATGTCTCTTGGCTTTTCGCGGTGAGCGTTTTAGCCACTTACAGAGTGTTTTGACTTACATGTTTCTAAAACGGGGAAAATTTTATGTCATGGAATGTAATTTGTAATTTGTACTTTTTTCCATCGTCTAAGCTTCAGAGGCATGCATATGTCATGCATATGCTAAGACTATGGAAACCAATATTTTCCATCCTCTCCAAGAGGATGAAAAAAATAAAGTCCATAGTCTAAGGGTTGGACGGAATTTAAATATAATATTTAAAACCGAAATGTCATTTGATAATTTTGACAATGACGTAATATTCAAGGTAGCTTAGCTTTGCTTTTTTACCTTTAGAAGTATATTTGTTAAATTATTTATGAAATAAATACATCAATGATTAATTTAATTGTATATATTTTTTTAATTCAATGGGAAGAATGAAAGTATTGTTTTTTTAATTTATTTATTTTTGTGTGTGATTATCAACTTCGGCACCACCAACGTGACGGTTATCTAAAATTTTTTGTTTTAACATTAATGCACTCAATTGATTAAAATGAATCCAAGTGTAAGTAGCGACTAAGTACAATAATAATTACTTGTTTAAGGTGTACACTTGACGATCCCAAATTTAAAATTGTTTGGAGGAGATTTGTGCCCGGATGTTCTATGTAATAGTCTATGGTCATATTAGACGAACTGTGAACTAAGAACTCATGGAGCGGTTTTCACCCACGTCCGCCGCGGTTGCGGGAGCGCGGCCTCCGAAGAATGTAAAAAGTATGCAAAATTTAGTAGCACATTTCACGACGCGTTTAACGCCCGCAGTGGAGACGGTTGCTCGCGGAGGCCGCAAGCCGCGCGGGCCCCGCCACCTGCGCGTTTGGCGGGTGTCGCCCGCGCACTCTGCGGTCGCTTCACGGGCGACGCGTTACACGCGCACGGTTTGGATCTTTCCTTCCCACGCCATTTTGTGATTGATTTTCGATTTGGCAGCGCGTGTCAATTTCTCAAGTTATGGATGTTGAAGTCGATCAATTAATTTCCCACCAGTTACCATTTTTCTTAAAAATTCTGAATAAGCAGATACGGACATCCGAAAAAAATTAAAGAATTTGTCTTCATGTCTTTTCAACTCGTTAATAAGAACAACGAATAATCCGTAACGAATTCTTTCCTGAATCAGAGGATGCACCCAGAATCTTTTAGGCCTTCTTCTTCTTCGATGAAGTATTAAAAGATGAGAGACTTAACTGACGATCTCAGTCGATCGTAAATAACCACGCGCCTTGCGATCCTCTCCCGCCAAGTTTGCGGGCCGTTCCGCAACCGCGGCGGCTACGTGACCGTACAAACCTGCCGTATTGTGAGTGTTGAAATAAAACAGCTGTTCCGCAACCGCAGCGGGCGCGGGTCAAAACCGCTTCGTGAGTTCTATCTCTTAATGTAAAAAAGAGGATTTTAAACTTAGAGGATGGAAAAAATAAAGGTATAGTTTAAGGTTTTAAACGATGTTAAAAACACAAAATCCATGTAAGAAACTCTTTTGACAATTTCTGTTTTAAATCTATACAGAGGAATTTGCCTGCGATGTGGAAGCAATACTTTGTCTATGATATTATGTCACTCACGTAACCACATTGAAAACCCAAAAATCAATAAAACGTTCTGGAGTTCATCCATTAATAAACAAACAATCTTATAATATTATAGCAATAAAAAGCTATAACGCTGAAAAACGTAAAATAAACTTCTATTTTTTGTATCATATAGCCATATAATTTTTGTATCATATAGTTATCTATAATCATCATTTTTGTATCATTAGCTAACAACGCAGGGCTTGAAATAAGTAAAAAGCTAGCACCAGAACGTAACTGCAAATAAGTTGGTCCAGCATGTACGGCGTAGACGAGTAGCTAACTAGCGTGTGTATGGTTCATTAATACAAATTCAATTTGTACCTTGTGGTGTATATAACAAAATAAATATGGAATTTTTTTGCTTTGCTAACAATATGGAATGGAAAATACACTACATTGGCAAAGTTTACTGTGGGATTTAAAACCAACGTTTCGGGCCCGTTTACGTCTTGGCTGACTTTTATTTCCAAGAACTCGATATTTACTTCTTAAATTCAAAATTACGAATAAACATATTAAATAAAGGCCACTCGTCGACCCTTACACAATAGTTTGTTGAAGGGATGATTTGGTATTGCAAATATAATGAAATCGGAAAGAAAATCTTGGAATTGGGCTACAAACATAACATGCAACTGCTTTAGTAGGGAAAGATATTTTTTTTCACCAATTAATCCAATTTTTTGCGATATCTAACAGTCCCTTAATATGTTCTAGGTCAACTTGCTAATATCCGGCTTCGCTCAGTCAAAAATCAATCTTAAATAGTGAGCGTAAATAAATATATTATTTTATTTCAGAAGAAAAAGGAAAATGACCGATTCAGCGACTCTTCTTCGTATCTTTCGAAAGATGTAAGTTTATTTCACAATACATCAAACGATACTGCGCAAAGAGGCTACAGAAGCATTGTTACAGCCAAACTATCCTATGGCAACATTGACCCTTCAAATAGAACGCAAACGTGAACCGGGGTCTAAATTTTATACACGTTATAGGTACTTGAAGATATTAGCAAGCAGAGATTTACCGTATTACCCAACTATAATACGTATAATATACCCTAATATAGTAAAAGCAAGCTTTTTGTGACTGTCTTGAAAAGTACTGCCGCCATACCTATTTCTGTAGCCAGACTATCTCAGCGAAAAGTTTAATGAGACATTTAGTCAAATATTTTGTATACTCGTAAAAATATACATAATTTCAATAAAACATAAGATATCCATAATATTAACCTTAGAACTAAGTTCAAACTCATGGTGCCACGATTTCGTTTAACTAAGGTAAACGATTCTTTTATGGAAACTGTTTACGTTTTTACAATAATATTCCGGAGTATATTATTAAGATCACCATTTCCTAAGTTCAAAACTTACACTTACAAAGTATTTTAATTGAAAAGTTATATTACAAAATTGAAGAGCATGCGTTAGATAAAGATGTATGGAAAGACAACATGAGTGTAGATTCCACACAATCATGATTCAAAGTGTTTTCCATATTATTTATGTCTATTTGAATAGAGCAATCCCTAGATTTTCTAGCTCGTTCTTCTCATGAAGCTCAGCGTGAACGAGCAGTAACTTAAAAAAATTACGTTTTGGAGTGTAAAAATTTTACCTATGCAATAAATGATTATTTGACTTATATGACTTTGCCATGCACTGATGCTCACCGCATTACTATGTATATATTCCATCTTTGAAGGGGATAAAGGTACCAGTGAATTATTTTTATGATTTTTAATGAGATTTTTGACGTATCACATGTGGCTTTGTTATACCAAAGGTATGAAATGAAATACTGACATACGCGATTATTATTATCAATCTTTGCACTCTGCCATGGTTTGCCAACAAAACTATTTAAAGTAAAAGAAAACCGAAAGAAGAAGAGAAATAACATACACAGAAAAGTGCATGGGTACGGCCCTATCGATTTGATTGCGAGAATGCCTGCCATGGCTTTTTTTATAATACTAAGTGAAGGGACCAACAAGTTGTGCGCCTGGTGGTGAGAAACACTCTTGTCTATAACAATTGCAGTATCACTCAGAGCTTTAAATCACAAAGATTTGAGGGGTACTGCCACTGCGCCAGACGCCAAGAGACATAAGTTGACAAATCCCAAATGTCTGTAATTTCACCAGTATCCTTACCCTTCGAAACCGGAATACAGTAATACTTACATTACTGCTTGGCGGTTGAAATGGGTAAAGTGGCAGTACCTACTTCCCTGGATGAACTCTTTCAGAAGAAGCAGTAGATGCTACTAAAATATTGCAGTATTGCTTTTCTTTTGTCTTGTCTTCATTTATTTCTGAATGTTATTCTTGTTCAGTATGTTTTTGTTTACCGACTATTTCTACCACCAGGCAGTAATGTGAGCATTACTGTGTTCCGGTTTTGAAGGTAAGGGTGAAATTACAGACACGTGAGACTTACCAACTTTGTTTCTCAAGGTGGCCGACGCAATGGTAGTGCCCCTCAGGTGTTTGCGATTTAATGCTTTATGTGCTCCAATCGTTATAGGTGGGTAGGCCGCTTGTTGATATCATTAAAAAAAGTAAATAATATTATGTTGCTTGTAATGATTACAAGTCTGAAGTCGGATATAATATAATAGAAACAAATTTTATATTTCACCAGAGTGAGGAAGAGTTTGGAATTGAGTTGGATCGTTTGAATCAACTGTATCAAAATGCAACTTCACTGGACGTATACCCTGGTGCAGAACCTATGCATTATGATTTTGTCGCTGAGCGACATATCTTGTATCCTACTCGGTAAGTAAATAATAACAACAACAACACTCACAGCCACACACTAGGGAAACCCTGTATCGCAGGTGCCATGGACACAGACACCACAAATTACACCTAAACTCACGAAATAAATGTAGGCTATTCAAATATTTCTCCCGGCCCGGGAATAGTACCCGGAACTTCTACATGGCAGTCCTGCATGGTAAAAATGGCCAAGCCGGCAGTTAAAATAACTTAAAGAACATAAGTATTTTCATGAACAATGAGTGTCATGGCAGTAAACCATAATGATATTCAATAAAATAAATACGGCAATTAATTATATCCACATCTCTTGTGAGATACTGGTAGCTGTAAAGGTACCTGGCCGAGTGAAGAAAACTTTCATAAGTTTCTCACAGGTGGCGCTTCGGCAAGCAAGCAAACAAGGCAAGCCGTTAACCCAATACAAAAAAATGCAAGCACACAAACAAGTTCGGACAGGCAAGGTCTGCTGACTCGATCTGTAGCTTAATTGCTAAGAGCTGTAGCCCCGGTTTGGCAAATAGACTCTAGTTCGAGTACAGCCGGATCGAAGGAATTTTGCGTTGTGTTTGTTTGATATTTGTATCATTAATAATTACAAATGTTGCAACAAATGATGTAACAAAAGTAGTATTATTGTACGTGTACCAGCGCGGCAGTCAGCTTTTAAGAAGAGAAGTGTACTGTATAGAAAAGAAGTCTACCGAGTGACTACGATCCCCAGGAATTAGATGTCTGCAACAATCTACCATAATAACAGGAAGAGAAAGACAATACACTTCATGTTTCTGTTTTCAGCATTTGGGAGTCACTAGCGCACCTTATTAAAACGTGTTTGGGTGCGGGTTTTTTGGGTATCCACGAAGCTTACATGTACGGAGGAATTTGGACTTCATTGGTTTCTTCGATTTTTATTACAATTATATCCACTTATAACATGTTAGTAAGTAGATAACAGTATACATTTTTTCTTGCCGAAACTTTAGTCAAAATAATAAGGCTCAGAATAATGCTAACAAATATCCAAATTATCGATAACATAGTGACTTGAAACCTAGTAACAATATTGCTCCAAGCACCGAGAAAGTTTTTAAAATGTCTTCGTGCACCTTGAAGTTTAATACGTATGTTAAATTTTAAGAAAAAATAAAATACATTTTTGAATTAGATTTTTTCTATTAGCCACGTTGGTGATTGAAAATTGCTTGGCAGTTTTGTAAATTATATATTAAAATGAAAACACCCGAAATTTTTGTCAAGGAGCTTTAATCCAAGGTCCGTCCTCTAGCTGAATTATTTAGTTCGTGGTCACACTCTAGAACATTTATTTCTAGTCTTATTAAGTTAATGACACTAATAAAATTAACATTTTATCCAACAGTCACTCGCTAAATCAGCACACATACAGTATAATAGATTGCGTACACCAAAACTGTCATATCCTGATCTGGTCGAAGTAACTGTGAAGTATGGGCCGGTGCGGTGTTTCAGAAAATGGAGCAAAGCCTTTAGGTATGTGTTATGGTACTATTTTTTTTTAATCCAAGCTTCGGAGTCATTCGAGATTTTCGGAAAGGATCTAATGTAATTAAGATTGAGAAACTCCTTGATCCGGTAAAACAATAAAAATATAAGTACTTTGGTACTCCGCGAACCCAGTGAAGATTATTATCATGCTGAATAGCTGCGCTTGTGCTGAATATTGTTTTCGTGCAGTTTTTCCCACCGTCTCTCTGCATAAAATTAATAAAATAAATAACTCAAGCGCAAGTATAATCACAAACATTGTCACCCCCAAAAATATACTCGACACGTGTTTCGACACTCGGCCGAGAAATATAGCCAACCGTCTCTAAGAGAGCTTATATATTCAATATTAATTTCCGCGAAGTAACCCCTGAATCAACAGATTATATCTAAACGTCTTCTTCTACAGTCTTTAGTGACCCACTGCTGACACTATGACTCATTTGCAAGCCATTGTCTCCGATCTTTGACTATCCTATATGCATCCTGGTTTTACTGTTTACTTATATCGTCCATCCATCTAGCCTTCTGGCAGCCGACGTTTCTAGTATAGTTGATACCCCAAGATACCTGACCGTCTATTTGGTTCTGAGTATGTACGAGTAGAAAGTGTTACACAACCTTAACCTTTAACCTTTGAGCTGTAAAATTCACTTTAGTACTGGCTAACTGTTGTTAGTCAGTACTAAAATGAAGTTGACTTTTGTTGAAGTTGACTTCTTTTACGTCATTGGAGAACGACTTTTCAAAAACTTTTTAATTCAATTTACACTTTTCTGTTGAATGCGTAAGAAAGCTCTCAGAACGAAAAGGTCAGTCAAGGTCAAATCAAAGAGGAGTCTTAGAGCGTTGGCTGTACCAGTCCTGGATCTCCACTCCAGCACTTTCCTGCTCCAACGATCATAGGTTTTGCTATGTAACCTCCCCATCACCATTTTCTTTGTGCAGTAATACAATTAAGGTACAAAACAGGTAAACTGCTAAATTGATGACCTACAATCGATAACTGCGCTAAACTCGAATAGCTCCGAAAGGTTCCGAAGCTTGAACTTTAGAAAATATTGCTGTAAACTAGGTACAGATTTTAATTAGTAAATTAATTATTTCAATTATTGACGACTGTGATTTATCTATCAATATGTATGGCATTGCCGAGAACCGGGCTTCAATTCCCAGTTGTATCGATTTTGAAAACAAATATTATAAATTGATCTGGTTTTGCTGTCTTGGTACGGGACCTACAATGCCATTTTCAATTATTTACTCTAATACGTACTTTATTTAGAGCCCTTTTTCTGACAAGGGGATCAATTAATCCATATACCGCGTGGGACCAAATATCCATTATAATCCCCTAACGCAATCTCTATGCCTACGAAATAAATACCCTTGGCAACTTTTAGTGTAACCTGACCATAAATTAATATTTTGCAGATACGCGGTGGACACATGCCTGTTCATAGAACTATGTAGTGTATGCTGTGTGTATCACATTATGATAGCCTCTACTTTGAAACAGGTGTGTCAACTAATTTCAAAATATGCTAACAACAAATCTAACACGCTTACTACCACCACGACTGGCCACGTCTCTGAAATCAGCTTCACTAACCCAGCTACGCTAGTACTAGCCGTTATCGACGTCTTCTGTTCCTATTAATAATATCTTTGATTACTCACTGCAAATTCCCACTCACAGAACACTCGTCCTTAATAATTATTTTACGATTTCAGTCTCTAGAAGTGGTATCAGTATACATGGCAGATTTGGCTTTGAATATCAGAATCTACATTTTGCTGGTTCTATTACCAATCCTACTGATTTCTTTTATCAGGAGTTTGAAGTACTTGGCACCTTTCTCTTTGGTAGCAGATGCATTTATTGGTTACTATCACAGTTTAATCATTTTTAAGTCATTTAGGAAATTGAAACTATTTTTTCGGATCTTAATCCCATATATTTGTTTTTTCACCCTTGACAAGTCCCAAGGTCACAGCTGACTAAGATGGTAAAGTCATTAACCAGTTATACGTATTATTAAAGTAGTGGCGATGATTATAATTAGTAGAGTATTTTGCATTATTAATAAACATAACCGGATGTGACCATGGCATCTGATAACGGCCCGAAAAGTTGGTTTGTTTTAAAAAAAACAAGAATTCGCGATTTAGACCAAAAAAAATATTTCATTTCCAATGTGTAACAATCGCGAAAACCTAAGAATGTCTTTATTTCCTCCGTTAGATCCTTTATAAGCCACTTATGAGTGAATTCTTGTTCCACACAACAACGTCTACGATATAAATACAAGAGCTGCATGTTACGCTTATAAAGTATCAAAAGTATCTAAACAAACTCATTGACCTGGTGCATACCCTAAGTAGCCGTTGAATACTAGCAGACGAAGGCGTGTTCTAGCTTAGATACCTCGTCTTACGTAAATGTAGTGTGGGTAACTAAAAGCAGCTGGTTATGTTCTATGTCCATCAGTGGATTCCTGTTGGTTTATGGTGATGATAGAGGAAATCAGTGTTGGAGATCATCATTCAGCCGTATTTGGTCGTAAATCAGTACCTCTAACTCTGTCTCTTTCTCTCTTTATTGTAATACTGTAAGCTCTCCATGAAAGTGGTTTAGTCCATTACCAACAATCTTTTGTTATTTTTCCAGTACTTTGTGCATTCACAGCCATATATTACAGCATAAAACAAGCAAAAAATATCAACGATGTACCAGGCTGGAAAGGTTTCTATGGATTTTTCAGATTCTCTGGTGTCTTCATGTACAGTATAGATGGAATCACTATAATAATGCCTATTGAAAACATTATGGAGCGACCATTAAGCATACCTTTTGTTATTCATGTTGGTTAGTTTATTCTCTATATTTCGTTTGGTATGTATGATCAACAAACGTTTTCCTTTCTGAAAGTAATGACATACGGATAGATTCAATGGTATTTATAACAATTCATCAAAACTATAAAGAACCATTCCATGTAGCAATCACCAGGCGTGCCAATGTCAAACCCTCTTCCGACACTCAAGCACGTCTTGATGAATGGAAAGAAATTATGAAATTGTGTAACATACGACAAAGACGCTTGTATCAAATGCATGTATGAATATGTTACCTGGCTACAACACAATCAGTCATCTACCAACCAACGACTCCATCATTTCTATCGTACCATAGTACACCGGTGACCTCGAGCACCATCACATACACCGTGGTACATCCGCATTTGATGTGCAACATATCAAAAATGTTAATATCCCAAATTGCTTTAGAGTCCCAAATTACTTTTGCCTGTGGCTTCCGCTAATAGCGCGTTTGCTCTCAGGGGAATCTGCCTTACGAATGAGCAGTAGAGTTTAATGAATATGACGATTTCAAGTATAATTTACTTGCTTATGAAATAAACTTTATTTGACTTTGGCTTTGACTTTTACACTAGGTGGACAGGTAGCCTTCTCTTGCCCATCGAAGCCGGCAATCTACCCAGTGTTGTTTACACTGAGTCGACCAAGTCGACTAAGCGTGATCACTTTTCAAATGACTCGGTTGAATTTGATAAGCGACGGCCGACCAAACAAGTTTGGTATCATACAACAAATCAAAATCAACAAGTTTCAACGTAACGGAAATACCTACCTACCCGATCAGTTTGTTTCGAACGATTCGCTGTTTCTCTATGCGTATAGTCGACTGCTTCTTTGGGCAAGGTAGCAGTCGACTATGTGCAAACAGCGCGTCAACTGCGCCGCCATGGTCAGTCGTATCCGCTTGCCAAAGAGAGTCGGCTCGGTGTAAATTACAAGTCATCTGCGTCTTCTTCAGCAAGGGGAAGTAATCTCCCGAAGGCGACAATTGACCGTGTGTAAACACGCTATAAAATAAACATTAAACTGTTACCATTTTTCAGGTATGACTATTGTGGTGATCCTAACAAGTTTTGTTGGATTTTTTGGATACTGGGGCTGGAGAGAGGACTGTAAAACTCCAATTACTACTAACATGCCTGTAGAGACGTATGTATATATTGTGGAATATAATAGTAGTGCATCATTAAAATTAGTGTTATTAAATAAAGACATTACTTCTTGGCTCGATGAAATAACCATACAGTTAAGAATATTCCTTTGAACTTTTGATTAACTTCCATTTTAAAAACAACATCTCCATGGACAAAATCGTCATGTTCGCAATAGAAATAATTGCTAATTTATTCACTTAGGCGCTTGAAATATTTGTAAAAAGAAAAAAAATTAATAAATTATACTGGCAATGTTACTGTTACTTTAACATTTCACTAATTATATCTAAAAAATGTTATACTGAAGGTTTATTATACCTACACATTGCAATAAAATTATACCTTTTGTTTTTGTTCGCATATTAATTACAGAAGTCTCGTGCAGTCCCAGTAATTTCCGCAGCAAACTTGTAGTATCTAATCTAGTGTGAACGTTAAACGATTGACACAAAAATCATTATACTATGTAAAATTTTATAACAAAAAATTTTGATATTTATATTCTTTGAAATTATAACTTCAAAAAAGTACATAAAATGCATATGATAGAGATTTGATTATATCGTTATACAAGGTTAAATCAGAATATTTCGTAAAGGGCGTAAGCGACATTTCGAAAAATTTTTCACACGGCACTGCTTTGGGTTTCACGACTGTTTTACAATATTTAGGTACGTCCAGTTTTAATTTCACTTTTAAAACTGATACTCAGTTAAAGCCGAAATAGAATTTTGAAACAGGGCATAAATCGCCCACGAATGATAACGAATGGTCACTGTACAAAAAACAATCTTTTTAAATTTCTAACGTCATCTTGGATTTCAAAATACGAACATTATAATGCTAAAAACCCGTGTACGTACGTTGGCTTATTACAGGTACGTAATTTGCTACATGACGTAATGTCGTTATGCTATATAAGCGTGATAAAGGAGACTGCGCGATACTGGCCATTTTTTTTGGTAGTGACAGAGATCGCTGAATTGTGAAACTATTTACTAGTAACTCTGTGAAGGATATCATAATTTTTTGGATAATATCGTTTTGCATTAAGACTAATATAGTACAGGATTGCCGAGCTAGATTACGCTGGTTAGTGGATAAGTTATATAGTAATTTATCGTGTTATTTTCGAAGTTTAAAATTAAATTCTTAGCACAATTTGTTTTTATGAATCCTTTGTGTCGATATTGCAAAATATTAAATGTTAATTAACATGAAAAGATTATGAGAAATAGTGGGTACTAAACGAAATTCTCAAAAATACTTTTATTTTATTGTGATAGGTGAAAATTTGTAGAGTACTTCTAAAACGATGTAGGTTCCCTTTTTAACCGACTTTAAAAAGGAGGAGGTTCTCAATTCGACTGTATGTTCTTTTTTGTATGTATGTATGTTACGCGATAACTCCGGTATTTGTGAACCGATTTTCATGATTCTTTTTTTGTTGGAAAGGGGGTACTTCCATAGTGGTCCCATTTCATTTTGAAGAAAATCATCCACCCCAAAGGGTGGCTGCTCACGCATGAAGATTCATTTTTATAAATAGCGCCTAACTTTAATTTAGAAGGAATTACTTTAATGGTTGATTTTGCTATTTCTCCCATTCAAGGCGTTTTTCTCTCAATATACTTTAGTAGTAGAGAGTGTAGTAGAGTAGAGTAGTGAGAACCGATTTTTATTATCTCCAGTGTCAAGTCGTGTATAGTGGCGAACTAGGGGATATTTCAATAAAACTTAGCAAATAGACGTAATTCCACGTACTTTTGAGGTCGGTTTTTTAGTACTCTGTACTGAGATTATACTTTAGCTGAAAGCGGTTTTCAAAAATCATCGTTGAGTAAGAAATAGCAGTTATCGCAATTTTCAGAACTTTAATTGTTTATTACTCAAAATCAAACGTATTTCATTGTGTCACTGTCATTCTCAGTGAGCGAAATATTTTAAAACAGTCCTTAAAACCTAAAACATGCTCCCCTGATATTTTTTCGAAATGTCGCTTACGCCCTTTCTATGCAATACCGACGATTTGTTGTTCATATGTAATTACACGTCCTTTATTTGGTTTTGCCTTGGACCGCCTCAATATTCAAATAATTGCTAAATTTGAAAACCCAAAAGAATAGGCTAAAGGAAAGAAAGACTTATGCTTATTATTAGTTTTAATTAAAGAAAGTTTAAGGGCTTTATTCAATTGTCGAAAATTTCCTTCTACAAAAGAATCCATCGTCGCCACCGGATTTTTCCACGCCGCCGGTGCCGATTAAATAGACCGACATAAAACAACACTTGTTATTTAAAAATCAGCCTGTATATGGCCAGGTACTTAAAAATCAGCGATGTTATTATTTGTTCCAGAGGAACCTTAATTTTACGATTCCTAATTATAATAATGTTCACGGCGACATACGCTGTTCATTTCTGGGTACCGTTCAGAATAGCGTGGCGCTATTTGGGAAGAAAAATCAAAAGGTATGGTTTGTGTGAAATATAGAAATAAAAAAATAATATGAAATATAGAGCAAAAATTTGAAACGGTAATTTGTGACGTCACTACTTTGTACAACGAGCTACTTACTAATGACGTAATTTCGAAAAATACCTATGTCTGATATTAATTAAGATATCGAAAAACGCGATAGCAAAGCTCCTTGTGAAAGAGTGCGTCCAGGGAAATACTGCCATTATAACTATTTATGCCATCAAGTAGTAATCTGAGCATTACCGCGTTCCGGTTTTGAAAAGTAAGCGTGCTGATGGAACTACTGGCAGATGGAACTTGTCAACTTTCCTGTATTCTAAAGTCGATTACATTAATCACAAATCTCATATTTAACACCCTGTATTAATTTAAAACGACCTCGGTGGTCGATTGGCTTAATCGACGATTTTCATGGTGTCGCCATCTCTGAGGTCCCGAGTTCGATCCCCGGCTGGGTCAATGTAGAAAACGATTTTTTCTCTACATATGTTTGTGGTGCCATCGTCGTTTCCGATTTCCATAACACAAGTGCTTTAATAACTTACTTTGAGATCAGTGCAACGTATGGAACATTTTTTTTATTAATATCTAGTGACGGGATGAATAAGTCATTCACCTGATAATAAACGACACGCCTATCTATGACAGTTGCAGTACCACTCAGAGCTTTAAATCGCAAAGATCTGAGGAGTACTACCATTACGCCCGTCACCCTGAGATATAAGTTGACGAGGACCATGTGCCTGTAATTTCCCCAGCAACCTTAACCCTTTAAAGCCGGAACGTAATATAATGATCACATTACTACTTGGCGGTAGAAATAGGTAAGGTGGTAGTACGTCCCTGGACGGACTCTTCAACTGCTACTAGAAGTTCTACTACTTCATATGTTATTAAAATAATTTGCAATAATGTCGTATTTCAGGAAACGAGCTCGATGCGAGAGATTATACAGGACGGCATTAGTTACAATAATATGTTTAGTTTGCATCGGTCTGCCTAATATGAATATTCTTATGAGCTTTGTGAGTATATACAACATTAATTAATGAGACATGTTACCGTATAGAATCTATACGGTAGTACTATACTATAGATGAATATTTTATTATGCGGAGATGAGTAATGGGAGTTCATTCCAAGTCTATTCATGAACACACATACGCGCGTGCACACACACACACACACACACACACGAACACACACACACACACACACACACACACACACACACACACACACACATACACGTGAGCGCGCGCGCGCGCGCGCGCTCACGCAAACAAACACACACATACACACAGAGAGGGGGAGGGTGGGCGAGGGAGAGAGAGAAAGAGAAAGAGAGAGAGAGAGAGAGAGACCGACCACACAACAATCATACTTAATTAAGTTATTTTATTTTATATTATTTTACTTAACTATGTTTAAAAAAATTATAAAAATCAACACTTATTTATTTATTTTAGAACTGAGTTATTTAGTTTACAATTAATCTACACCGTAATCTTTTTGCGCCTGCTTTAGCAGGGCCTAAACTAAAGTTTTAGTTACCTATTTTTTAATTGGGCTCAAATAGGCCTTGCTCAATTTAAATCGAAGTCATTTGACATTTTATTTATTTGTATATTGACGGCCTAATGAATAGAATTCCAGCACTCATGTCAGACACAATATTAGCTAAGAATTTTGAAAATTGTATACGAGTGTTACGTCCATTATACTCATTTATTTATTTAGTTCGTATTCCATAAGATGCAACATAGAGGATCAATGTAATTTGGTTTATCACCATGTATTTCAATGTATCTACTATAAACTATGTTGAATACAATATATTTGAATTTGAACATTTTATTTATCATCAAATCGCACTTTCATGTTGCAGACTTGACCTTATTACAAGGGCCACCAAAGGCTTTCATGGTGTCGCCATCTCGTCGCCGGCTGAGTGCCCGGGGTTCGAACCCGAGACCATAAACTAAAAGAACTAACTTTTCGATATTGTCTGGGTGTTTATGGTACCGTCGTTGTTTCCGATTACCATAACACAAGTGCTTTACTTTCTTACTTGGGATCAGAGCAACTTATGCGATATTGTCTAATATTTATAATGTCCCAAACAACCATGTAAAGAAACTGGTCCCAAAACTTAGAAATTCTCTGAATTACGAGTAACAGAGTGACGAAGACAACTCTGTAGCATTACCCGGAACACGCATATCGGAAACCATTTACAAAAGTTTATTTCGCAAATTGATCCTACCAGAAATTAAACTAATAACTTTCTCTACATTTTTCTGAAAAATATTTATATTTGTCTGCAGGTTGGCAATTTCTTTATAGCATTTCTGACATTCATCTTTCCAGCTTTCATCGATTCCATGGTTACATGGGATCGAAATAATCCTTATCACCAGTAAGTTAAAATTTTTTTTTATGGTACCAAATGACAGGAAAAAGAATTCGTGCGCCTGGTGGTAAGCGACACATCTACCCACACTTGCAGTGTCACTTAGAGGTTTAAACCTTAAAGACCTGAAGGACACTACTGTGACCCAGAAACATACATCTCATTTGGCTGTAGTTTTACTAGTACCCTTACCTTCAAACCCGGAACGCTGTAGGTAATAGTTACATTACTGCTTGGCAGCAGAAATAGGTACGGTGGCAAACATACTGAAAAAGAAGAAACATCCAGAAACAATTGAAGACAATTAAGTTTTATTGAATGTCATGGTGTTTTACTGCCTACTATGATATTATTCAATGGTTAGTTTTGTGAAATTACTTCACTATTTAGTTATAATTGTTAATAAAGATTGAACACATACTTCGATCGAATTCAGCCGGATCAAAGGACTTTTTTGTGTTTTTGTGTTGGACTTTGTATTAATAATTACTGGTTGGCTATACTCCCACTGGACCACCGCCGTTGGTGTAGTTTACTTGGACACGGTCCCGTAACACATCAATGACGTCTAAGATCCGCAAATTGCAATGACTGCCCAGCAGAGAAGTATACCGAGTTATTTGCAAAATACCAATAACCTCGCTGGTCTATATTACTAACATCATAAACAACATTTAGTAGCAGTAGAGTTCCTTGTGAAAGAGTTCGTCCGAGGAAGTACTGCCACCTAATCTATTTCTGCCGCCAAGCAGTAATGTCAGTATTTATTATGTCAACTTATGTCTCAGGGGTGACGGGCAGAACCTCTCAAATCTTTGTGATTTAAAGCATTGCATGGCACTGCAACTGTTAGGGATAGGCGTGTAGTTTACCATCAGACGCACGACTTGTTCGTCCCGTTACTTGATATAATAAACAATAAAAAACTACTTTTGTTCCATAACTCTTATCACATTTTACTTTCGTACAAAAATAGAAATGTTATAATATAAAAATCAAAGTAGGAATATAAGAGTATCAGATAGTACAAAAAAACACATGAAGTTTATTTTTGGTAAATACATCGCACCTCCGGTTAAACACAGACTTAACTACACAAAAAATTGGTGCTTGGTGCAACGGGCTGATATCCGCAACTCGACAGAGGGCTGGGGGATAATGCGTATTAAAATAATATAACATTAAAGAGCTCATCAAATATGCTTAGTAGTCTTAAATACAAAACTTTTAACTCATTTTCTGTCAATTTTACAAAATTAGAGTGTAAGTTAAGTCACTGTTTTACAGACATGCGATATTATGTTTTGCAGAGAGTCATAGTACAAAAGTTGTTATTTATGATGTTAGTAAGTAATATAATATAATAATAATAAACATCTTTATTTGTCTATAGGTAACCTTGTTTATGATGACAAATTATTCTCATTAATCTTGTTTCCTTTCACAGCTTAAAATTAATAAAAAACTTCTCTATAATGGCGTTCGGGGCCGTACTTACCATTGGATCATTATATTCATACCTAGAATTTTACTTGGCCTAGATTTCATTAAAATTATTCATTAGTTTTCTTTTTATACACGTGTATAATGTAGGCATACTGTTTTTTTAATTAATTAAAAAATAATGAAACATTATTTAGACTTTCATTTTATATTTTAATTAACGTTTTGTGTTAGAATTTTATAATTAAGCCACGTGCATTTTTGTACTATTTTTTAAATTCCGAGCTTCGGAGCTATGCGAGTTTTCGGGAAAATTACAATTACATTGTTAACATACTTCATTTGAATATATTATTTGACATTATAATAGCTAGCTGTGATTTACCTACGCTCTAGCCAAATTCAATGTAGGATAAATGTCAACAAATAAAAACACGTTTAGGTTTTGACCTCGGTTTGCCGTTGCCACCACAGAAATCTAATTTGTGTGTCAGTGTGTGACGAAATCTTTCTCAAGGAGCTCGTCTGCTACTAAACGTACTGCACTTAGTACACTTACCATGGTCCCTAATCCCGGCGTCATGTATCAACTTACACTGGATGACCCAGTGCTATGATTGTGCCTATATACTGTAATTACAACTAGAAACTTACAACCAAACCCACATTTACTCCAGGCTGTAAAGGAATAAAAATGTTGTTACAATTATTTATTTTACCACCAAACCGGCAATGAAAACTTAGTAATGGCTACCCGTATAACCATCGTTGAAAGTCGTGAGAAATGGTAGTATTCTGGGACTACAGAACAATAATGTACATTGTACCGTGGCTGTACCGTTTCGCTTAATTTTATCCTGTAGTTACATTACGATTGCAAAAATGCACTTTGTTGACAGCTTGCGTAGGTGGCGTGCATGATTACTTCGCAAGTGCAAACGAATCATCTAACATTGATTATACGTATGCCGTGTCACCGGGTCTAATAGAGAATTCAACTAAGTCGCGCTTTGCAAATTTCATATAAGTTGTACAAATGTGGCAAATTTGAAGTCGATAGCACCAGTAATTTTACAGACATCCTATAATATTGATTTTGTTGGACACCATGAGATATTCTTTTTTTGTGAAATTACTCCTCCAATTTGTTATAATTATTAATAAGACAGAAATTTCACCAAGCGCTAGCCATAGAGCGTGACAAAGCCGCGGGGAATTTTGGGTCTTCCAGTAACAACTGGCGCAATAGCACTAGATGGTTTCGGTGGCTCAGCGGTTAACACGCTGAATTCCAGATGTAGATTTCTCAAGTATGCTTCCTGATAAGTCCAATTTAAAACTACAAACTTTTATCTATTACTCTGGATCTGACATTCTGGGTATTTTTTATAGGTCGCACTAGGAAGACACAGCGAATGCCATGGACACACATAGACAACCACAAATTACACCCAAACTCAGGAGCGAAATAAATGTAGGCCATACAATATTCCTTCCGGCGCGGGAATCGAACCTGAGACGTCTGCGTGGCAGACCAGCATGGTATCCAGTTGGTCAGGAAGGCATGGAGGTCAAAAGCCCATAACGTTGTCGTTATTCTATTACGGTGGGACGAGGACGGCTTCATCAAAGATGGAAAAGAGGATGAGAAAGTCCAACAGCCGTAACCTATGTGGCACAGCACCGACAGAATCAAAGTTTCTGCTGCGTCCAGCCATAGCGACGACGCTGCTGTTCCGTACCTATCACGACTGCGTTACTGTCTGAGGAGTGCCTATACCATGAGACCAAGGAAAAAAGATTACCGAACAAAATGTTCAAATACGTGAAGGGTAACTACCCCTTCACGTATTTGAGCATTTTGTTCGGCAACTTATAGCTTTTTAAACTTTACATTCAAATTGATTCAATAATTGTAATAATATCTTGGTGCGAGAAACATGTGTCACGTCAAACGGATAAATGACATTAATGGAATCAGAATAAGGGAACTTCGTAACAAAATATCGTGGGACAGCAATTATCGTTTCAAGTCCGAAAGTATTCTCGAAGGGCCACAATGTTAGACCATTAACGAACGTTAAGGGTCCAACACTGGTCTCTTATATTCATAAGAGCCTCAAGTGAACACGTTAAGATTCCTAGTGAAAACTAACTGAGAAGTCCTAACTTGACCGAGTTTGTTTTGTGGGAAATGTGATCGTTAAACACATGTTAGGTTTGTTTGTGTATAACAAACAAACCTAACATATACATATTATCTGTATACACAACACATAAACTTATACATGATACATACAATAACAGAAGATGATCATGATGATTATCGCTGTGAGAGTGCAACAAAAAGATTAACAAAATTTAGTGAGTGTAGTGGGGTATAAACATAGCGATCCGTTCTAAGCGATCTCACCTCACCACTCCACGTGGTGGCTCTGGTGGAATCGCAGCATTAGTGAGGCCACGTTTTCTCTATTAATGTAGTCCAGTGCTTGTCCACATAATCTCTGCTGTTCAGGAATTGTGGTTCAACCCGAAATAGTTCACTTTATTAGTATTGCATGGCTGTATTTAGAATGAGCTAAATTTTATTGAAAAATTAATTGATTTATTGAAATTCGTCGAAAAGATCTCAAAATGAATTCGCTGAGACTAGCTACATGGAAAATCAATGGTCTCTCTCCTAATAAGAATGAGGCGAAACTCTTGATGATATACAGCATAACCTAGATGTACTACTGATCTCTAAGGCTCATTGCACCGCATTATCAAGCCTCAAATAAAATGCCTACGTGTGCTATATCACCACTCATCCTGACGGAACTGGACATGCTGGAACGGCAATAATAGTAAAAAAGACTGTCAGACATCACGTCATGCCAGAATACAAAACTGAACAGATTCAAGCAACGACATTAGCAATTGAAGATAAAAACGTGCATCTTAATCTGACGGCAGTATACTACCCACCGAAACATAAATTAACTGAATCGCTTCAGTGTTTGCAAGTTTCTTCAAAACTCTTGGAAACCGTTTTTGGTGGAGATTGGAACTCAAAGAACACGTACTGGGGTTCGAGGTTGACAAGCACTAGAGAAAGACAATTAAGGTGTTACGTTGATACTAACAATTTAACCACTGTCTCATCTGGCGAACCCACATATTGGCCAGCAGAACCGAATAAAATTCCAGACTTACTCGATTTCTTCATCCTTAAAGGATTTTGTAGGCATTATGTGAAGCCTGCGGCTTGCTGGGATAGTTGTACTGGCCACATCCCTGTCCTACTAACTATGAGCTCAATGATGGTAGAGTTCACCAGTTCTGATAAAATGTACAACAAATACACCGACTGGGAGTCGTTTCGGGAGTATCTAGAAGACAGGATTAACTTGAAAGTTGCCCTTAAAACACCTGACGATATTGAAAACGTCACCAAATTCATAACAAATCTCATCCAGGAGGCGTGTTAGCTGACTACCCCTGATATTGAGCCAAGAAAAACTCACACCAACTATCCATTGGAAATCAGGAAAGCGGTCCTTGAAAAGAGACGGCTAAGAAGAGTATGGCACCAAAGCATATTGGATGCTGACAAGAAAATATTTTCCAAGACGGCTGCTAAAATAAAAGAAATGTTAATTGACTGTCATAACAACGCACTTGCAAATCAGTTTGAGTCTCTTTCTGCTACTGCATCGAATAACTACTCGCTCTGGAAGTTTACGAAAAGTCACAATAGACCTCAGGTGGCTAAGCCTACCTTAAAATTAAGCAATGGATGGGCCCGCACAACCCAAGAAAAAGCGCATACTTTTGCCGAACAGCTGTCAGGCGTATTACGTCCAAACGAAACAGATGACATAAACTCACAGAAAGAAATAAATGACATCCTAAACCAAGATCTCCAAATGTCGCTTCCACCAGACCCAATAATGGTACGAGAAGTCTGGAGATTTATTAATAAAAGTATGAAGGCTAAAAAAGCTCCAGGATTCGATCTCATTACCCAAGAAGTACTAAAATAACTTCCAAGGAAGGCGGTAGTGTTCCTTACTACACTCTTCAACGGCTTGCTGAGGGCACAATACTTCCCTAGGCTGTGGAAAGTATCACAAATCCTGATGATGCACAAAGTCGGAAAACCAGCCCATAAAGTAACCTCTTACAGACCTATTAGCCTGCTACCGATTCTGTCGAAGGTCTTTGAAAAACTGTTGTTGTATCGAATAATTCCATTTTCGGAAAAGGATAACATCATTCCAAACCATGAGTTCGGCTTCAGACAGCAACACTCAACAGTCGAACAGGCCCATAGAGTGGTTGACAGAATCAGAAAAACCCTAGAAGAAAAGGAGTACTGCTCATCAGTCTTCCTGGATATTCAACAGGCTTTTGACCGAAAGTAGCATAAGGGTCTGCTCTGTAAGATCAAAAGCAATCTTCTTCACAGTTACTTTGTGCTATTCGAGCCGTACTTGTCCAACAGTTTCTTTCAACTAAGGGAAGGCGAGTCAACCTCTTCTTTTGTTGAAATAAAGGCAGGTCTACCTCAAGACTCGGTACTAGGACTCGTGCTGTATACTATCTACACAGCTGCTTTGCCCGTAGTTGAGGATGTGACTACTGCCACATTTGCTAACGATACAGCTATACTTGCCAGTGGTAAGAATCCTGACATTGCAACACAAAAGCTGCAGGGAAGATTAAATGAAGTATCCAAATGGCTCCAAAAGTGGAAGATAAAGGCCAGTCCGTCAAAGTCAGTGCAAATCACATTTACGCTTCGAAAGGGAAATTGTCCACCAGTGCAATTGAATAATACAACATTGCCTCACGTGGACTGCGTGTGATATCTTGGCTTGCATATAGATAGACACTTGACGTGGAACCAACACATCAAAACTAAGAGACAAGAACTCAATCTAAAATACAGAAGCCTCACTTGGTTATTGGGATGAAACAGCAGGGTCTCAGTAGATAACAAACTTCTAATTTATAAAACAATCTGAAACCTGCCTGGATGTATGGCATCCAACTCTGGGGTAGCGCAAGCAATTCCAATATCTTGATCATACGGCGGATGCAGAATGTTATTTTAAGATCATTTTCCAACGCACCATGGCTCCTTACCAACAATGAGATCCACAGCAACCTGGAGATG